TTTTTGATGTATGGCAGTGTTAGAGACAACAAATAAACTAAAAAGGAAACAAAAAGAGACATACCATCTCACCAGCAATCAACACAAAGATAAGGAGAGATTAACACCAGAATTAATATCAGTCTAACAATTAAGCAGTAAACAATGAAGGAACTATCAACTCAGACAAAGAATCAAACAGTATGTTATGGTTCCGGCTAATGAAACACTTCAAAGAACTTCCAGGCATTGATTTTCCTAAAAGTAATTTATTGTTACAAAATGTTGGCACAGGCATAAGGAAGGCATGCTAAGATCTAAGCTCTCTTCCTCTGAGCAGTTAAATTATCAGCATGTTCCCTTCCTAAATTAGCTGTCATATATCACTTTATCCAATTAGTGTGAAGGTCAAAGGTTTCCTTCCTCTCTCTTTCCCGGGCTTTTCCCTCCACCCTCTTCTGCTCTGCATTAACCCAAAAAATACCAGACAGTTCTGCATATTGTCAAAGCAAGAATATATAGTATTTGCAGTGTTGACACAGTAAATAATAGCCTAATCAAGGAACTACCAAGAAGAAAACAACTCTCTCACTACCATAAGGCAAGCCACTGTATATAAAGAGAGAGCAAACTCCATTCCCTTCCAGCACTGTATGTTATCTAGTTGTTATCTAGTTGAGTAATGAAATGTCTGCAAGAAAACAACCAAGCTCAGAGAGTACCAAGGACTCCACAATAAGTGTGTGCCAACACAGTCCCACATAAATATTTCTTAACGGTAGATGCATAGTTGTATTTTAGCATCCAACTTCTTCTGTACATAAGATATCTTACTATGTATGTAAAATATGTGCTTCTTGTAACCTTTAGTAAGATAGTAAATTTAACATGCAATCACAGTAGAACCCAAATGTTTATATTTTAATATATTAAAAGGGATAATCAGAATAATATACTTGAAGTATGCATTTTTAACATGGTGATGAGCTTCATGCATGCAAAATGTTATCTCCTACTGCATTACGCATACATCATAAAATTACTATAAATTGCTTCTGCATCAAATGGTCTTATAAACCAGTCTTAAGATGGAGCGCTTATTTTGCCAAGGTATTAGAAGAGAAATTCCAGACATACTTATAATAATAATAGAATATTTATCACTTTCTAAAATCACTTTTGAGACTTGAGATTCATTTTGCAAATATTTTCTAATAAGTACTTCCCAGTGAAGAATCTCATTTTTGTTGCCTGATGATCTTAACAGGATATTGGACCAAAATCTGTGTTTAGGATGCCATTAAGCAATGGAACTTAAGAGGCACTTATCCCATGCTCTGGCTTTCTTGAATAGTCCAGATTCTCTCCTTTGGATCCTTGGTGACATTATTTATAGGCATTTACTCACATAGTATGAGAGACATCAAATATTTCTAATTATATCCAGCCATGTCAAATGACAATTATGTCTTTAGTCAAGTTTGCCAAACAATGCTTTACTGGAAAAGGTTAGCCAAAAATGCCTCCAGTGAAGAATGGTGGTGGGGAGGGCATGGGATGGCTCTTATGTTCATCCAACAGTATAAAAGCGTTTCAAGGAACAAACCTGCCTTGTCCTTCTTAAGATAGTAGTAGGTAAGTGCTGGGCAGCCGTGGTAAGGTCCGAATGGGTGAAGCACCCATACATTCCATTCATACTGGTTCATTCTTATGCCTTGCTGTTAAAGTGAGAGGATTTACTTGGATCAGGGGGATCTCAAATCCATTCATTCAGTTCTAATCGGTGGCTTGTAGCTGAAAGGCTTAAAAAACAAAACACAAACCGTCAGTAAGAAGAGATTGATCTTTTGTTTTGCAGCATTGGCCAGTGCTGAGCCTGAATTCCACCAATTCTCTTCATCGGGAGGTAAGATGGTGTTTACACTCACTCTTGAGGAACTGGGGATTCAATGAGTTTGTTTTCTGGGTGTTGAGCTGAGCAGACAGTTTTGAGGCTTCCTCATTAATGCCATGCAAGGTGCCTTTTGTACAGATTTTGCTCAGATAGTAAGGTCTGATCTTTTACTAGTGTTTGGTCTTGACATCTGTTAGGGAAGCTTTATGCGCGTTTCCTGCTCCACTAAGCAGATGGCAGGAGTCTGAAAACTGGCTTATTCTCACAAAAAGATGCAGAGTGGTAATTAAAAAAAATACCAATAATGGAATCTCTTTGAATGTACATATTTGGCCAGTTGTCTCATGGATTTATAATGAACTTTTGCTTTTGACTGAGTCTTAAAACTATAGCTGAAGTAATGTTCATTTTTGGTTTTGTTGTGTTTTGCTTCTTTACTTCAAAATAGACTAAAATTTCCCCGCTGAATTTGTAGGCCTAGCTTTAAAGCTGCTTTATTTCACAGAAAAGGAGAGCTTGATCCTAATCGTAGGCCTATGTTTTGCCAAGAGCCAGGGTGGTGATCAGGTATCCAACTGGTTCTTTTGGAACCACAGATGAGCACACCAGTAAATAAAGAGATTTTCAGCTTTATTATTTAACTGTAGTAAACAGATTTAAAAGCATGACATAAAAAGCAAACATATCAAGCAAGATGATATCCAAATCTCTTATAAGTCTCAGGAGCTCCTTAATGACAACAGCAGAGATACTAACCCTCCCCCCCCCCGGCATCTAGTTTCCAAGGTGCCCAATGTCAGGTTCTATGCAGAAACGTCCAACATGATTTAATAACCCTTCTATGGACATAAGATTGTAAGACCTGGTCTTGACTAGGCACTATTGGAATTAATTGTCTGAAATTGGAACGAAAACTCTAACATTTCACAGGTTTGCAATTATGTAAAGATTCCCATCCCTTCTCCTTTATTCAGCAAGCAAGAGCAAAAGCCATGCAGGAGAGCTAAGAATGAGCTCTAAATTTCTAGACATATTTCTTAATATGAAGGAGAAAAACAATAGGCCACTAAAACTCAAAATAACAATGGTCTTCTGCATTGCCAATACAGCCTAAACATACAATTCTTCCTATCAAGCAATAGGGGTTAGGATTTCTGCAACATCAGCTATAATGAACAAAAAATAGAGAAGCAGAGAAATAGAACTGAAATTTAGAGGCCAAAGGAGACACAGGCTACATTGGTCTGTAGAATACATTTTTAGCAGATTAAGCCCACAAACATCAAGTTTTAGGTTTCCATGGCTTACGGTTTAGCATAATGTGGGAACTCGGCTGTTTTTAGAAACTGTCTCCTGACAAAAACCTCTCAAAGTTATCAATCACAAGGAAACTGTTTTCTCTTCATATCTTTAGCTAACGGAAAAAGGAGGATTTTTTTAATCCCCCAAAAAAACAAAAAAAACAATGAATGGATTAGATGCAAAATACACATACTGTAATGCAGTTTCCCTTAAAATTTAAAGGATGAGGTATAGTGATTACAAAAGTGTCAGCTGGGAAGAACCTGATCATTAAAGATCTGTCTTCACTGGCACTTAAGCCCAGGACAATCATGCCTAGACAACAAAAATTTCTCCCCTTGTCTGCATGACGCTTATGTTGAGTGAGACAGCTTTAAGTTGTCACTAAGAGTTCCATATAAAAGTAGTATTTGAATCCTTATTCCAGCACTGTCAAATTACAGCCTTAGGAATGAAGTCAGAGGAATCGGTTGTGGGGTGTGTGCCATTAGAGGTGTGCTTGGGGAGAGCTGGAAAGTGCAAGGAGAGTTTCCTTGAGTCATTAGTCAACCACTGGAGCATCCATTACTTTCTCTGCCTTTGCCCTTTTCATTAGCATTTGCTTTCATGAAGTCTGTTCAGATCTGTTACTTTTCCCTACCAGCAGACAGTTTCATCAACTTCTCCCCAGGCTTCCATGATGATAGAGAAAAGTGCTGACCATCACTATTTAATAAGGGGAAGAAGTATTTGTGCAAATTGTCTTTACAAGTATTGTATTCTGAAACATATAACCAGTTTGTCATTACACTCAGTGGTTGTGTTCATCCAATATACTGAACCACGAACTAAACAACCACATTTTAATCAGTTTGGTAAATCCAGGCTGTTTAGTTACTAGAAGGTTGAACATGTTGTGGAAATTTGGAATTAGATTACCGGTAATTTAATAAATTGTGGTTAAATGTGCCAGTCAGACATGAACATTTTTCAATGAAATTGAATAAAAAAACAAACTTTTTTTTTCATAATGTGCCCTGATTCCCTAATTCTTGCAATAATTGCTTACTCACTTATTAGTAGATATGCATTTCTTTTCATGGAAGTAAAGGACTTTTCTTCAAAATAGATTGAGATAACCTGAGATAGCAAAGTAGGAGATTGCATGAAACAGCACATTAAAGTTGTGATCTCCATATGAGTTGTTTCTTTTTCACCAGTGCTCTCTGTTAAGCTGCAGTCATGTCATCTGACAGTGAGATGGCAGCTTTTGGGGTTGCCGCCTCCTTTCTCCGCAAGTCAGAGAAAGAGAGAATTGAAGCTCAAAACAAGCCCTTTGATGCGAAGACATCCGTCTTTGTAGTGGATCCTAAGGTTTCCTTTGTCAAAGGTGTTGTCCAGAGCAAGGAAGTGGGGAAAGTCACCGTTAAGAAAGAAGGTGGAGACGTAAGTAGAAAAATACCTCACAAGGGAAAAGTAAGGCTTTGTTATCCTCATCCGCTGCATGCTTTCGATTTGAACAAAAATATCTTTTGTTTCCTTGTAGTCCGTGACTGTTAAAGATGACCAAATCTTCCCAATGAACCCACCCAAATTTGACAAAATTGAGGACATGGCCATGATGACCCACCTCAATGAACCTGCTGTCCTGTATAACCTCAAAGAGCGTTATGCAGCCTGGATGATTTATGTAAGAAGAATCTGAACATTACCATTGAATTCAGAACCAAATATTTTATTTCCACAAGCAAACAACTACTAATGTGTCTTTTCTTTCCAGACCTATTCAGGTCTCTTCTGTGTCACTGTCAATCCCTACAAGTGGTTGCCAGTGTACAACCCAGAGGTGGTTAATGCATACAGGGGGAAAAAGCGACAAGAGGCCCCTCCTCACATCTTCTCCATTTCTGACAATGCGTATCAGTCCATGTTAACTGGTGAGCAGATATGTAGATGAGTATTTCTGGAAAAAACAAGGCAGGGAAAAAAGGAAGAACATGGTTTCTGGAATTTCCAGACTGAGTTTTTAACCTTTCCAGAAAGTATAACAATGGCCAGTTGTTTGTGGTTATTCAGCTTCAGTGGAACCAAAATCCCCATAATTCCAGTTAGCCGTATGACAATATTTAGGACATTCTTCATTATTGTTACCAGATCTGCAGATTAGGTAATGGGGCATGCATTGCTCATGTTGACTTATGATTGATAGATCTGGTTTTACTGCAGTTACTGTTTATGTATGCATAGGGTATGTGTGTGTTTTTTAGGCTTTTATATTTTCTTTTAACACTATTAATCACCCAGATTCATGAATTTGAGATTGAAATAATAAATAAATATATGAAATTAGTATGTTTATAATTCAGTATTGTACTGTATATACACTATTAGGGTATATACAGTATTGTATTGTATGTACAGTATTCTTTGAAAGAAAGCAGTGTAAGTTACATAGGAACTGTATGAAAGACTATGAACTAAAAAGTTATGGTGTGTGCTAGAAGCTTCACATGACTGTCAACAAACTAGCTAATTTTGTGCTGAAGATTGATAACAGAAATGAACAAGTCAAAATTCTAACTATTCATATCACAAAATTAACGCAAACATTAATTTCTGCTTGGATTACTTCTTTGTTTCTTTGCTTTCTAGATCGTGAGAATCAGTCAATCCTGATCACGTGAGTACACTTCCAATAATGATGTTTCTAGTCAGAAGAAGTTTCACAGAGCAATATATTGGCTAACAGCATGGTCTTTTACTCTGTTTGAATAGTGGAGAATCTGGTGCTGGAAAGACTGTGAACACAAAACGTGTCATTCAGTACTTCGCGACAATTGCTGCAGCTTCTGACAAGAAGAAGGAAGAACCACAGCAAACTGGCAAGTTAAAGGTGAAGTATGACTTTGAGAGAAGATTATACATTCCTTTCTGACAATTTCATTATGTTTAAAAGATGACTTAGTAAATGCTACTTTTACAGGGAACCCTTGAAGATCAAATCATCAGTGCCAATCCCTTGTTGGAAGCTTTTGGAAATGCCAAGACTGTGAGGAATGACAATTCATCTCGCTTTGTAAGTTACAGTTTCAAACATGTGTGAGAGTGTAATTCTTTTTGTTCCAATGTTCTTGGCATCCCACTAAAGATGACAATGAATTAGACAGGTTGTGTTTGTGTTGTGGAGCTTTCTAGACGAGATACAATGTTATTGCACTTTTTTTCAGGCTAAGAATGCCTCACATCAAATCTATGCAGCAGCATCAAAATAACATAAGCAGTGCTGTGTTATTGAACTGCAAGCTTCACCCCTTTGGGATATGTCTATGTCATCACAATGCATTTACAAAAGGGGAAGGCCTTCTGTCATGACAATGCAATGCTACTTCAGTCATTCTGTCCTTCCTTGCCTGCCCCCCCCCTCCTCCATCCCCATAGAGCTAATGAAGAGGTCTATCCTGTAAGCCAAGTCCCATTTGGAACATTGAAATCCAAAAATAGTTTAAGGAAGTTGAGCCCTCCTTTCCAGTTTAACATAGCACACTGTGACACGGGTCTTTGAAAAGCAAAGGAGGGTGCTGATTTCTGCTTGAGCTACCTCATTTTTCCTTGATTGCAATTACCATTTGCAATGTTTCACATTCACATTCACATTCACATTCATCTCATCTCATTAAATAAAGAATAAGTCCTTCAAGAATGATCAACCATTACTATCATATCAACCTACTTTGTCTTTCTCCCATATAATAAACCTCAACTGTAGTCCCAAAGGTGTTATTCAAAAGGCAACTGGACTTTCTCTTTCTTTCTTTCTTTCTTTCTTTCTTTCTTTCTTTCTTTCTTTCTTTCTTTCTTTCTTTTCCCTTTTGAACAACACCTTTGGGACAACCATGACCTGGATGACTGAGAATCTCCATAGACAAACTTCAACTGTTTTTCTCCTTTAATTCACTCACATTTTACAGTTCTAATATAAAGTTTAATAATTATCATATCATGAATATTATTAAAATAAAGTTTCACATATGGCACATTAAAGCTTTTGTATTTTATAATGGTAAACTATTTCATTTTTTTAAAATTAGGTTTAAAAAATTACTATTTTTTTAATTCCATACATTCCATAGCCAGAAACTGAAACTCCTGCTATTAAAAGGAAAAATCTTTGCACCACCCTATTGTGCAGTTAAATAAATATATTGAAAATGACTTGTAATTCAATACTATTTTCTCCACAGGGCAAATTCATCAGAATCCATTTTGGTGCCACTGGCAAACTGGCTTCTGCAGACATTGAGACATGTAAGGGATTTTTCTTTGTGTGTTTATTTGACCGTTTCCTTTCTTCCTTAACTAATTCAACTTCATTGCTTCGTCAGATCTGCTGGAGAAGTCCAGAGTTACCTTCCAGCTCAAGGCTGAAAGGAGCTACCATATCTTTTATCAGATCATGTCCAACAAGAGGCCAGAACTGATCGGTAAAGAGAATTATCCATTTGGAGGACTATTTCAACTATTAAACATTGCAAGTGTGCCAAAGGTTGAAAATGAAATCATGTTTGTGCTTCTTTTTATGCAGAGATGCTTCTGATTACTACCAACCCATATGACTATCATTTTGTCAGCCAGGGTGAGATCAGTGTTGCCAGCATTAATGATCAGGAAGAGCTGATGGCAACTGATGTAAGTAATTTGCAGAATCGGGAACATAAAATAGTAATTTGATTAGACAAACAATAATATTTGGTTTAAATGTTTGAGAGCATGTGGGACTTAGGCATATGATGAGTGGTGTAATGTTCCAAAAGCTACTGTAATTGCCAAAATTATTTCAAGTGAGTTTGAACCCTCGACTTGGCTCAGTGCTAGGTTCAATCCTTTCTATTGATTGAATTAATAGGAAGCCATAGACATCCTGGGCTTCACCGCTGAGGAAAAGACAGCCATTTACAAGCTGACGGGAGCCGTCATGCACTACGGGAACATGAAGTTCAAGCAGAAGCAGAGAGAGGAACAGGCCGAGCCAGACGGCACGGAAGGTATTTGAAAAAATTATGGCAAAATCATTTTAATAATTCAGAACAAACGAGGACAGTCTTTTGCAGAAATACATCCCACGCTTCGCTAGTGTTTTCTAGGACAGTCATACTGATCATTTGGAGTAGATAGCAGACCATAAAATATTGTGCTGTCACCTGTTTATTAGAATTTAAGAAGGAGGAAGCCTTCATTATTTTTACCGATATTATTGTAAATACTCCTGTAACATTCTTCTTTTTCAAAAGTAACTTTTTGGGTAGATGAAGCTATAATTTTAGGGAATGAACATTCCCAACACTGAGCAAGTAGAACTCAGCCGACACTAACCAAAAGTCTCTTTCAAACCTTTTCCAGTCTGATTTGTAATGTTCGCTACTTAACTATTACATACTGCATGAATACAGTGAGATTTATAATAAAAAAAAAAGACTCTAACCCTAAACTATTTGTTGTCTATGCTCAGTTGCTGACAAGGCTGCCTACCTCATGAATCTCAACTCAGCAGATCTGTTGAAAGCTCTGTGCTATCCCAGAGTCAAGGTCGGCAATGAATATGTCACCAAAGGCCAAACTGTCCAACAGGTAATGTTACATTAAACCAACTCTCACAAACCCTGGCATCCTCCAAGATGAATAGATTTATAATCGTAATATTTGTAATATCAATATTCAAAATGTAATTAATAATGATAAAATTCATTTTTCTTTCTTATCTGTATTCAATATACTAAGGCACCTGAATAATAGAACATCAAGAATCTAAGTTTCTTATATAAATATAACTGATCTGAAATAACCTATTGTACTAAAACTGGGAAGATGGAAATCTATCTGGATAGATTTAAAAATAAGTTAAATGATTGAGCTAGTTCTATATTAATATTTTATGGATATATTTTTAGTTTCTACAAAGCTTATTCATTTGATAATTACCTGTATATTTTTTCAGATTTTATTAGCATCGCTATATCTTTAGTGGTACTTCATCTTTCTTTCTTACACACACACACACACACACACACACACACACACGCATGTATACGTGTGTTTGTATATGTATACGTTTGTGTATACACATACACACAGACATACATACACTGTATATAAGATTGGAATAATTATTAATTTAAAAATATCCCTATACATAGTGATATTTGCCACTGTCTTTTTATTCTAGGTCTACAATAATGTTGGTGCTCTGGGTAAGGCCGTCTATGAGAAGATGTTCTTGTGGATGGTCATTCGCATCAACCAACAGTTGGATACCAAACAAGCCAGACAATATTTCATTGGTGTGCTGGACATTGCTGGCTTTGAGATCTTTGATGTAAGGAAACAGGGAGAAAGATGTACATATAAACAGATAGGAGGAACAGTGTTTGGCTTTACTCAATCAAATTTATTTCATCTTAATTCATCTTAACAAAACTCTCTCTCCTTTTCTTATAGTACAACAGCTTGGAGCAGCTCTGCATCAATTTCACCAATGAGAAATTGCAACAGTTTTTTAACCATCACATGTTTGTCCTGGAGCAAGAAGAGTACAAGAAAGAAGGAATTGAATGGGAGTTTATTGATTTTGGGATGGACCTGGCTGCCTGCATAGAGCTCATTGAAAAGGTCCATTTTATAGTAGACATAACTGACACATAATTCAGATGGGATAAGAAATGCTTTAGGGTTCTCTCAAAAATAAGTGATGAAAATCCCAACTGAATCTACATGTACCATCATCTTGTTTTGTCCTGCCCATTACAGTCTTTGACTGCTCCCCTTCCTTTATTATTATTTTTTATATAAAGTTTAGCTCTCAACTTTTCTAATGGTTTTATCAGAAGGACAGCCTGGGAAATTGTCCAAGAATAAATAGAATTATAGCAGGATCCTAATCAATGTATAGTAACATGCTCAAAACAATTCTTGACATAAAAATAAAAGTATATATAGAATATATCATATAATAAGTATGAAATCATAGTTAGATATTCATAGTTGCTTATTGAAGCATGATTATAATTTAGAAGATGTAGCCTGTTTTTCAATGAGAGAATGTCTCCGTCTTTATATTTCATTTCTTTTGAACATCTCTGTTCTGATATTACTTGTGTGTATATACTTGGGGAAGAAGTATGTTATTCCAAAGTTCAATATTCTCTCAAGATGCTACCTAAACAACCATGTCATTGTTCTTTCTAGCCAATGGGCATTTTTTCCATCCTGGAAGAAGAATGTATGTTCCCCAAGGCAACAGATACATCCTTCAAAAACAAACTTTATGACCAGCATCTTGGCAAATCAAACAACTTCCAGAAACCCAAGCCTGCCAAAGGCAAGGCTGAGGCCCACTTTGCCTTGGTACACTATGCTGGCACTGTGGATTATAATATCACTGGCTGGTTGGAGAAGAACAAGGATCCCTTGAATGACACTGTAGTGGGGCTCTACCAGAAATCCTCAATGAAGACATTAGCTTTGTTGTTTGTTGATCGCCCTGCAGAAGGTGAGAGCTATAATGTTTTTTTTTCTTGAATGAGAAAAAAAATGTTCAAAAAATGTAAGGTTTATTTATTTTTTCTGTTTCACTTAATTTTTAGAGGGCAAGAAGGCTGCCAAGAAGAAGGGTTCTTCTTTCCAGACTGTCTCTGCACTTTTCAGGGTATGGTATAATGCTTCACTGGGATTCCTTTGTGAGGAAGGAAAAAAAATATTATGTAGTAATAATGAGACAACTCATTTGGGTATTTAAGAAAGATATTAAATTGGACTGAATTTGTAGAATTCCCAATCTAAAAGGCATCTTTGCATGCTTATGGATAATTCAGATATAAAGAAAGTGTATGGAGTATTATTGGTTGGTAGAGCTAAAGCAGTGCTGAAAATAAAAATGACAGAAGTATAGTGATGCTTTACATGCTATTTTGGTTTACTTCTTTACATTTCAAACTCAAAGAAGCCTTCAATGCACTTAGGCCATCAATATCCATCTAGACATATGTAGACAAGTCCCACTGTGGACATTTATATGATAAGAAAATAAGCTACTATTACGCTGGAACTGTACTTTGGTTCACTGCAAGCAAAAATGACAGCAACCCAAACTTCAAATAATGCTTTAGCTGCATATATTAGGTCCTTGTGGAATTTGACTGTTATTATTTATCTTATTTTTAATCCACCCAATGACTAGAATTTATTTGTAGAATAAATGGAATTTATCATTCCATTAGAAAGCTATATACCCCCTGCTTCTTTGGATACATGATTTTCCTTTGCAGGAATATATTGATTCCTTTGGGAATTTTGTACAAAATTATTTCTTTTCTGGATCTATAGGAGAACTTAAACAAACTGATGAGCAATCTGAGAAGTACTCACCCACACTTTGTACGTTGCATTATTCCCAATGAAACAAAAACGCCTGGTAAGGCATTGTTGGGGGGGTATGACAGGTATTTTACAATGCTTGTCTCTGTACGTGGTCTGGTCCTAATTCTTTTTTTAATCATCTTTTTGAAAGGTGCTATGGATCATGACCTTGTGCTACATCAGCTGAGGTGCAATGGTGTGCTGGAAGGCATCCGCATTTGCAGAAAGGGATTTCCCAGTAGGATCATTTATGCTGATTTCAAACAGAGGTCAGCTTGACCTTCATATGGGGTTCCTTACATCTCCTTCTCCTTCTCCTTCCCTCTCACTATTTTATCTATTTACTGTATCTCTTCCTCTCCCTCCCTCTCCCCCTTCTTCTTCCTCTCCCTCCCTCTTCCTCTTCTATCTTACTGTATCTCTCTCTCCTTCTCTCTTCTTCTTCTTCCTCTCCCTCCCTCCCTCTCACTCTTCTATTTACTGTATCTCTCTCTTTCCCTCCCTCCCTCTCCCTCCCTCTTCCTCTTCTTCTTCCTCTCCCTCCCTCTCCCTCTTCTATCTATTTACTGTATATATATATATATCTCCCTCCCCTCCCTCCCTCCCTCTCCCTCTTCTTCTTCCTCTCCCTCCCTCTCCCTCTTCTATTTACTGTATCTCTCTCTCTGTCTGCCAATCTCCCATAGCAACTATGTGATAGAGTACTGCTATCCTAATTTAACATTCAAATAGATTCAAGATATTAAAGGATTAGATTAATTGAAAACAGCAATCATATTGATAGGCAGAATAGAACGTTGGGAGGAGGATGTAGGGAAGTTTTGTTCATTTATCCCTTTTCAGATTTTTATTCCTTTGGACAGTTTTTCCTCCATTGAAAATAATGGGAAGAAAATTGTAAATGTTGCCTCGGTTTAGGGGTGAAGGGCTTTAGGTCCTGCTGATTCAAAATATTCCCTCATTTGGCCAATCTGTCCTGTTTATTATTCCATTAGAGAGCAAGAGTGCTGGTAAAGGATATACATGGTATTTTCCTCCAAGGACAAATTTATCTTTTTCTACCTTTGGAGGAAAGATCCAGCCTGTCCCATGACACCTTGGAAACCCTCCTATGGCTTGTAACCTTATAGCAGTGTATTAAATATAAATTACTTTAGAATTGAACTCTCTTGCTTTCTCAGTGTAATAGTACAGTTTAAGAGAGTTTCCTCTTTCTGGAGATCCAGACCCCCCCCCCAAAAAAAAATCTTTTCACCAGTTTACTCAGAAGCTGTGGTTAAGAGACTGCAAAAAGTTCCCACCTTAGCAGGCTAGGGTTGCTATAGCTTCAGAAAGTGGGGGGAAAAGAGCAAACCTTCAACTATTGAGACTTTTGGAATCTAATCTCTTTCTCATTACAATAAATCTAGTTAAAGAAATCTCTGTTAAGCCTGTTGCTTTTAGATATAATTGGTTATGAAAAGCTTGACAAGCCATATTTATTTTTTTTCTCACATTTTTAGACTGCTCAATTCCCAAATGATCTGGGCAGCTTCACAAACACACACACACACACACACACACACACACACACACACAATCCAGCAAAGTAGTCACATAGAAGAGACCACAAAACAATACAATTTACTTCTACTAACTTTTCACTAAAAGTAGACCCACCCAAACCACCTAAGCCCATATTGAGAATGAATATTTTTATAGCATTTCATATTTATGTTCATTTTTTTTTTACTGAGGACAAATAATTGTAAAAACAAATCTACTATGCATTACACGGGAAGATTTACAGGTGGTATTTTTTCTACCAGATACAAAGTTCTAAATGCAAGTGCCATTCCAGAGGGCCAGTTCATTGATAGCAAGAAAGCTTCTGAGAAACTTCTTGGATCCATTGATGTGGACCACACCCAGTATAAATTTGGACACACCAAGGTACATATAAGTCTTTGTTCTAAATACTGTTTTACATTTTGTAGTGCTTACATGACATTCTGTAATGTTTTTTCTTTTTTTTCAGGTGTTCTTTAAGGCTGGTCTTTTGGGTCTCCTTGAAGAAATGAGAGATGATAAGTTGGCCCATCTGATAACACGCACACAAGCTATGTGCCGTGGTTTCTTATCAAGGGTAGAATATCAGAAAATGTTAGAAAGGAGGTGAGAATCTCATAATTACTTAAATCAATTCTGTCAGAATGCTTTGATTGGTGGATCCGTGTTTAATTTAAGTTTAAGTCATTTAAGGCAGGGGTCCCCAACCCCCAGGCCATGGACCAGTACCAGGCCGCAGCAACTGGGCCACACAAACAAGCAAAGCCCCATCCGTGGGATGCAGGCAGCACACAAAACCATGCCCTCTCTGATCCACAGAAAAACCTTTCTCCACGGAACCGGTCCCTGGTGCCCCCAAAATTGGGGACCTCTGATTTAAGGCATACTTTTTAACTTTGTTGATAGGGAGGCGATCTTCACTCTTCAGTACAATATCCGCTCATTCATGAATGTCAAACATTGGCCATGGATGAAACTGTACTTCAAGATCAAACCTTTGCTAAAGAGTGCTGAATCAGAAAAAGAAATGGCCAACATGAAGGAAGAGTTTGAGAAAACAAAGGAAGAGCTTGCGAAGTCAGAAGCTAAGCGGAAGGAACTTGAAGAAAAAATGGTGTCTCTGATACAAGAGAAGAATGACTTGCAACTCCAAGTCCAAGCTGTAAGCATATAGAATGATATTAAATATTGTTATTTTATTGGCTATTCCAGTGCACCTTAGTAAGCAATCATTTAGAGATTGCAGCGGAAATCTTTGGGATTATTTAGAAATACACCCATATATTAAATAACGTTATTACATTATAACACTGTTTCATCAACACCGTTTCAGTTAGAACAATTAATTAGTGGAACAACTTGCCTCCAGAAGCTGTGAATGTTCCAATACTGGAAATTTTAAAGAAGAGATTGGACAGCTATTTGTCTGAAATGGTATAGGGGTTGGACTAGATGACCTCCAAAGTCTCTTACAACATTATTATATTATTATTATTATTATTATTATTATTATTATTATTATTATTATTATTGTTATTATTATATAAAGGTACATAAAGACTGTAATATAACAGGTAAACTATATTTGTTTTTATATTGTATGAACTAATATTATCACTTTTATTAAGAAGTCAGTTGGAGTTAGGTGGCATCAAAAATCAAATAAATAAATAAATAAAGTTTTGCATTATATCGATTTACCCAATGTACAGGAAATATTTATTTTTGAATATTGTTCCAAAAAAATGCTAACAGCTGATCCCATGTGACATGTGACTTTCTCCATTAGAGTAGGGAATTTTGTATATATGTGGATATTTTAATTAGGAAACTTTTTTTTTTTAGAAAAATAACTTACTGTATACTTTCCTTCCATAGGAA